TGGCCCAACTTTCCTAACATTTGATTCAATTCCCTTTAAGGTAGTTTAATGTTGTTTATCAGTTTAAATTTGACACCTCCGCATCTAATTCCTATCTTTCAAACGCAATTTGATTGAAACCAGATTGACCCGGCCGCATTGCCAGATTCTAATAAAAATAATACATTGAAGAGAGATATATACATTTAATACAAATTGGGAGTTCATATCAGTCCAATTAAAATAAAAGATTAAAAAAAAAAAAAAAAAACTTATCGGGTGTATAAACGAGTTTTCTCTGAAACGGACTTGTCCATTTATTATACAGGGTGTACCAAAAGTCCGTCCCACCCCTGCTAACTTTTGAACGAATTGAGCTAGGGTAATGAAACTTTGGGAATGTTCCTATCTCAAAGGGGACCATCTTTTGAGGGGGTCAAACTTTTGGGCTCCCCTCAGGGGGGGCGCGGGGGGCCTCCAACTTTTTAATTTCAAATGGCAACCCCTATCTTGTGATACATCATTCAAAAGAACATAAAAAACTAAGAATTTTGGCGCAAATCGCAGATCAATATCTTAATTTTTGACCGAGTTATGATAGGTCAAAGGTCAAAGTTGACCTATTTTCAAAAAATCATAACTCCGGTTCAAATTATCGTAAAGAAAAAAATAAAACGGGGAAATGTACCAAATTGTGTCCGCTTTTAAGTACAAATTGCAGAAATCACATCGCTGTAATTTTAAGGGGGGGCTCGGACCCCCAAATACGTCAAATCAAAGGTCATTCAATTTTCCCGCGAAAAAAGGCAATTTCCCCCATATTTGCCTCCACATTATCTCAGTAAGGTCAAAATTAGTTCAACATTACGTTGGCAAGTCCCCAAATTTCGGGAAAAGTTAAAAAAAAACGAAATTTAAGGTGATTAAATTTGACCGTTTAAATTTCGTTTTTTTTTAACTTTTCCCGAAATTTGGGGACTTGCCAACGTAATGTTGAACTAATTTTGACCTTACTGAGATAATGTGGAGGCAAATATAGGGGAAATTGCCTTTTTTCGCGGGAAAATTGAATGACCTTTGATTTGACGTATTTGGGGGTCCGAGCCCCCCCTTAAAATTACAGCGATGTGATTTCTGCAATTTGTACTTAAAAGCGGACACAATTTGGTACATTTTCCCGTTTTATTTTTTTCTTTACGATAATTTGAACCGGAGTTATGATTTTTTGAAAATAGGTCAACTTTGACCTTTGACCTATCATAACTCGGTTAAAAATTAAGATATTGATCTGCGGTTTGCGCAAAAATTCTTAGTTTTTTATGCTCTTTTGAATGATGTATCACAAGATAGGGGTTGCCATTTGAAATTATAAAGTCGGGGGCCCCCCGCGCCCCCCCTGAGGGGGGACCAAAATTTTGACCCCCCCAAAAGATGGTCCCCTTTGAGATAGGAACATTCCCAAAGTTTCATTACCCTAGCTCAATTCGTTCAAAAGTTAGCAGGGGTGGGACGGACTTTTGGTACACCCTGTATTTTTTTTTTTTACATATTTTTTATTATAAAGTATAATTATTATTGATTTCATCAATTATTCTGAGGATATATTATTAACTTTTACATTTCATCTCCTTTCATAGTTTGGAAAACTGCTTTCGGCTACCTATAGAATATAGTTCCCAGATAAATCAATTTAGATTAACCCACGAGGGGTCCGTAAAGCGAACCTCAGAGGGCGCTAAGCGGCCAGAGAGCGTATCTCCTAATATCTCAATGAATTCTAAGAACATATAGCTGGAATGCAGCTCTCAAGACTATATTTCGGTCATTTTTCAGTAAAAATCTGGCATCACGTTATCGACAAGGTCTTCCCGAATCGGCAGCGAAGGGGAACGTTTAAAACGGGTATAATTTAATTCCAGGCAGCCGGGGCGAATTTGTTGTCATTTGTCATTCAATCACGCCGAGGAACTAATTTGAGCCCAATTTGGGTCTGTTACATATGTCGCATGATCACAAAATCCTCCCGTTTTTGAGAGGGTGAAGGGTGGAAAGGGTGTCGGCGGCTGGGAAATAACCACTTATCTGCAATGCTAAGGAAGAACGCCGTATGAACATTCGTGAGTTGCCAAATTGCTCCGGAGGCAACATGTATTTTCGAAGAAAATGATGCGTATTTTTGCTTGAAACTTTTAGACGTTTTAGATAAAATCGCGAACAAAATTGTCTGAAAAATTGAAGGAAAATATTCACAAACTTCTAGTAAATAAGTTTTTATTGAAGGAGATATGGCAACGTCCGAAGGTTCATACGGTGTTTTTCCTTAGCACGGCAGTTATGTCGTGGCGTGCGTTTCAATCGCTTAAAAATCTAAACATCCCTAGATTATCGCGAAAGGCCGTAAACTTTTGAAGGTCACAGGAACGCAAAACGAAGATCCCCTTGAGACCGTTTCACAAAAAACGTAACGCCCTGGGGATGAGTCGAAAGAGACGAGGACTAATTTCACGAGAAACTTAGGGGTACGCTTCCCGCCCGCTATGCGGTCCGATCCCTGAAGTGCTTCGCTAATCAGGCATCATGCGTTACGCGTTATTCTTTTTATGGTATGGAAAAGATAACGACCAAATTCTACAACAAGCTGATTCCTTGTTTTCCAAAATGCTTGGTTTCTTCCTTCTGAACTCGATCCATATGATAAAAAGTTGTCGCTGGAAAGCACCTTAAAAACATTTTGTTGAATCTCCGAAAGTAACATTTAGAAGTACCGAGAGATGTCTCTTTTCGGGGATGAATACATCAGTTGGATTGCTATGACCGTAAGCAAAAGTTATGTACCTAACATTAAAAGTCCCTTTATAAGATTAGAATCCTGCTTAAGAGAGTAAGGCTGCCATGGAAGCGTGCCTTTACATTAAGATTACGGCCTCAATTTCGAAGGCTATTTATGATGTTGAATGTTGGCTTTGGGCAGGATCCCGGAAATCGTTAGATATTCGCGTAATTATCCCAGGACCAGCTGAGCAGATCGCAAATTCGTCGCTTTTCCAGGAATTCCGTTTTTGATTTCGACAGGAACAGAGAGAATGTAGGCGGCGAAAATAATTGCGCCCTTATTACAGTGGTTATGCAATTCGAGCCATATTCTGGTCGAAGTAATTGTGTCACGCGTTTTGATCCCTGAACTCAACTTTCAACGAGCTGTTGAACAAATGAGGTTTTGGGATCAGGGATGAATTATTTAGCAACGCTGCAGTATCTACCTGAGCCATCAGATCGATAGGAGTACAATCGAATGTCTTGCTTAGGAATTCGCCCAATATTTGTATTTTTTTGGTAATTGATGAATATAATATGCGGTTTCAGAACATTTTGTCAACGTCCTTTGTCCGCGCACCTTTTTTGTCCAGTAGTTTACGCCCACACGTAAAATAAGCAACGGTGACTTGGTCCAAGCGTTATATTTTAGTCGGTATGTAAAATTATATCGACTATATGGGAATGAGAAATTGAGAGAGAAGGACGTGTTGGTATGGTTGCTCATTTTCCAAATGCAATGTACCTTCTCCTTTTGAATCATCTTTTTAAATTGTCATTGGTGAATATTCGGTATTGTTTCTATTCTTAAAATATTTATATATGTATAGGTACTTTTTTTATTTGTTTAATTTTTTCTTTACGAAATTATTCCTTCATTTTGAAAACATTTATATTTTTAAAACGTGACAAATATCTGTAAAACATTTTCCAAGCGACATTAATCTCAATAAGCCGCAGTTGTGCCGACAGAAACTGCAAAAATGAATCAATGAGGGAAAAAAACCAAGAAGCACGCAATCTTTAGTTTTAACCCAGTTGTACATCGATCTTTTAGAGTCAAATACGTCAAATTTTGAGCATTTGGTTGCGCGTACACCTCGCTACAGCACAATAAAAGCACAAAGTGTAAAAGAAAAAATGGAATCACCAATATGTAAAAAACACACATTGTATTATTTTTCTCTTTTGATAAATTGACACATATTTTTCCCCATTAATTTAAATGAGAATAATCAATGCAGATTGTGCGAACATTCAAAATCCTGAGTTAATAAACACGCTGACTGTGCGAGTATAAATAGTAAAGCCTCAGAGAGCGGAGCGGCGTGCTGCTAGCGCGAGAGGCTCACGAGCGCCTACAAACCTAAGTGGATACTTCACGCATTGCACAATGCTTGAAGTATCCACTTAGGTTTGTAGGAGCCAATGCGCGTTTCGCGCTGGCCGCCCGCCCTCCGTGCAGCGGCGCGGCGCCTGAAGCAACTATTTCACAACATAGGTGTTGCACAGTATTATATGAAATTAAACGTATTAAGAATGACAGGCATCCTTTAAAAGTACAGATCTTCCATTGCAAAATAAATCAAGATACTTGTCGTACACTGGAAAAATCTAAGAACCTATAGCTCAGGCAAATATAGAGGTTTATCCGGTTCAGGTATAACAAGGTGGGAAAATCTTGCATGATAATCAAGTCCTGTTACACAAAAGAGGTGTAGAGAGTCTTAGTGAATTTTGTCTCATGAAATTAACGCTTCCCCATGTTTACCAAAACTCTCAACTATTATAATCTCTATTATTATTCTTCGTTGGACCAAACAGACAAAACAAAAGAACAAGCAAACCCTGATTCTTCAAGACATTTTACATTTTCATCCAAAAACGTCTCGAGCAATTGTCGTTTGTACTTACATGTGGGCCAATTATGCCCTAATATGCCTTTAAAGATTTTTTGTTCGTTAGATAGAGCTTTCCGGCTTAGCTCCGTTGGGTCTCTAATTTTGTTTTAAAATCTCTGAGTTGGGGAGTGATCAAAAAAAGTAATTTTATTTTTTCCAGGGAAAACTCTCATGTGCGCCAGATGGCGACGGATGAATAGGGATGAGCAGTTTCCAAGGAAAGTCTCTCAAACTTGCCGCTGACTACATATGCCTTCTTTGAGGAATTTTCCACTAAAACACACGCATTTCCTTTTTTGATTTCAGATCAATCTCAGAAATCTTATTCCACTCACATCGTCCAGACTAAAGCGATCTCATGAACACATCATAAAAGGTAAGTCGGATATTTTCGCTGTGCTAATGATCGAGGCAACGAAATCAAGTGAGGCAAAATTTAAATTCGAAGGTCAACGCGATTGTTCGCTAAAACGATGGTTGATGAGCGACTTGTTGACAAGAATCAACTAAAATTCGCCCGATGATGACTGACGAATGTCGGGGTGAGCACTTTGCCAAGCTGAGTATTTTTGCTGAGTAGGTTAGGTTTGCTAAACTAATTGCTCAGTTTTTTCGTCATTAGTCAGAGCGTTGACAATCCGAAAGTAACTTTTAGGTACATTTCAGGAAAGTCAGCAGTGCGGGCTGCGAGGTCGCTGAAATCGTCGCTCCTCTGGCGTAAGGGCGTATCTCTTTTCCGACATGAGCCGCGGAGAGCATAGAGTTATATGAAGAGCGAGGCTCACGTGGAAATTGAAATTTGCCCTGCTCTAATCGAGATGAGCATTTTGCAATTCTCACCATCAAAATTACGAATTTTCCATTCAAGCAGTAACCCCATTTACTGAAACTTGAGATCTCCCGAAGGGATGCATTAAAACGCTGGCTCCTCCGCAGAATACTGCCGTGCTATGGAAGAACGCCGTATGAACATTCGAGAGTTGCCAAATTGCTCCGCATCAAACAAGTATATTTAAGTATTTTCAAAGTTATGAATATTTTCCTTTAAAATTTTCAGATAACGTAGCAGACTTCCTGTCACACGTTATTTTCTAAACGAAAAACTACTCAACGGCAAATCTCTAAAACTTTCGTGATTTTTCCTCTCTGTGCGAAGAAAATTCTGCATAAACTTCAAGGAATGATTTCAATTTTTTCTCTTTTAAAAAAATACCCTGGTAAAAATTGGCAGTAGAATCTGTGTCCCTAAATACCATAAACCTACAGCCGGCTGTAAGATTTCCGCCGGCTACACAATTTCTTATAGCCTTTCATAGCCAATGGCGATTAAGCAACAGCCAGGCGATAAAGTGTATGCTAAACGTTATTAATTACGGATGCTAAGACTTAGTGAGTTTTTGGAATACTGCTCTCTTTTCGGGCCGTAGTATCTTGATTTATTTTGCGAGGAAAGCTCCATACTTTTGATGGATGCCTGCCATTACTAATATATTAGAGCGCCTTCAGTTTCGTATGATACTGTGAAATACCTCTGGTGTGAAATAGTTGCTTCAAGCGCCGTGGCAGGCGGGCAGCCAGCGCAAAACACGCATTGGCGCCTACAAACCTAACAGGGATACTTCACGCGTTGCGCAATACGTGAAGTATCCCTGTTAGGTTCTAGTGCGTCACCGCTCCGCATGGTGTTAGGCTCTAATATTTAATCTGGCGGAGTCAGCGTTATTCAACTCATGATTTTGAAATGTTTGCACATCCTGTATGGATTATTCTCATTTTAATTGATGAAAAAAATATGTATTAAAGGAAAATATAATGTGTGTTTTGTAAATATTAAGGTAGTTCCGTACCAAACTTAATAATTTCCAAAGCACACGAATTTCTACACAATTTCTTATAGCCTTTTATAATCGATGGCGAAAAAGCGACAGCCAGGCGATAAAGTGTAAAGCCCGGCGATAGGAACTTTAGCCCAGCTGCATAATTTTTTATCGCTTCGTATAGCCCGGCCGTATGATTTTCTCCGCATTCTACAGCCAGCTATATGATTTTCTGCAGCCTTCTTTAGCCGGCTATAAGAATTCCTATGGTATTTTGAAACGCAGCTCTTATCGCCAATTTGTACCAGGGTAACACAGAGGCGGAGATTTTCCGACAGAGTTGCGTTTCTGCAAACGAGTTATGTGATTGCCGACTTATACCGCCGATACGTTAGATTACACTGCAAACAAAATTGTCTGAAAAATTGAAAGAGTTACAATGACAACTTTCCCAATTGATTCAAACTTCATCGAAGGGAATTTGGCAACGCCTGAGGGTTCATACAGCGTTCTTTCTTAGCACGCGGCAGAATAGAGAGAGCCCGAAAGTTCCGACCAATTCCTCTGAGTGCTCGGTTGGTTGACGTAAGAGACTGGTCTAGCTTCCTACACACTGCCAACATTTACCGCAGGAAAGGCGGAAGTAAGGAAATATGCAGATGCACGCAACGTCTACGAGACGTTCAAGGGAGGCCCTTCTTCTGCTCTTAAGGCTACACAATTCCCCGAATAAGTTCCCTGCTTAGTAAACACTCTTTAATTAGTTCGGCTCCCACAGCCGCAGCCCCTCCAAGTATCCTCGGAGTCTCTGCTAACTCCATTTCCGCCTTGTCTTTAACTTCATTAACATGTGAGCATCGGGATGTAATAAGTATTTACCCCGGTGACAAAGCCACGCGCCGGGGGCCCTCCATTCCGTCCAAGGTTTGTTTAGGCGGGACCCTTCACGGCACGTCATGATGCAGTTAAAGGAATGGATAATTGAATTAATAGCAAACATGGAAACTGTCGTCGCGTAATCAGGAGAAGGATAATTTTTAACGTGAAATGTACACGGAATTATATACGCAATAGTCACCCTCCAGCCATAGTAGCACAAGCGCCATGCAACGTTTAACAATTTCCGCGCCGCCATTTTATTTTCTTACAGAGAAATTGTTCAACGAAGCTGTCCGAAGATTGCACTGATTTTTCTCTGTGCCGCATATAATACCCAGTGAAATTTTCGAACAGATTCGACCAAAAATTTCTCTATAAAAAGATAAAATGGCGGCGAATTTTTGAAACGTCGCATGGCGCTTGTGATACTTTAGCTGGAAGATGACAAAATGTGTTTTAACGTTACGTGGTAAGCCACAGTTCTCACGCATACCGACAAAAAATTAAGTTTAATTTCTTCCCTTCCCGTGACACGCCTTTTATATACCGTGCTACATGGTCTGGTTGCCTAAATCCGCGGCTGATACATGATGCATCACCAATTGCATCCTGGGTTATTTTTAAAGCCTCTCCGTAGCGGGAACGTACTTGCATTTTCTCATCGTGATAATTAAATGTTGGGACCGTTTAGAGTGCTGGTAACAATTTTTTAATTAATGCCGAGAACAAAGAAATCTATTATGACCCTTAATGTCCTGCTAAAGCTGCTGCTGCTGCTGCTGCTGCGCATGTTGTGATGACAGAAGTTGCTTTGAACGACGAAAAATATCGATAAGTTTGAATCAATTTTTTAAAATTGTTTTGTCTATATCTTGTTTTTTCCCGATGGTAGTGTTGAAGACAGGCGAAACTTTAATTTAATGTCAAACAATTTGACTTAACACCTATTATTTGGGACATCATTTAATTTTATGCGACTAATGTTTATATTTTTAGCTTTGCAGCTCATATTTATATGGAAATGTTTTTGTTTTCCTTTTGGCACCATATACTTCATAGCATCCCTCTATTAATAAGTTCAAGCTGTCACTCATCGATTAAACTTCCTTTTCCTCCCATAAATCGTCGGTCAAATTAGGATTATTCATGATCATGCCGCGCTTATCCAACACTTCGTGTTGGACTTTCCCGCTTGTTTAATTATATTTAAAGAAGCGGCACGCTTGCCTGGTCGGAAATCTTACATTAATAGTGTGAGAGTGTAAATTTTGGAGAAAAGTTACTTTTTTGATACAGTAATGTTAGGTCTGCGCTCTCTTTAGGCCTTTCTTTCATTTGCTTATCCTTCTCAATTTGTAGTTTTAGTGGAGGGGGATTGAATTTTTGAGAGAAAAAAGCGGGTGTTTTGCAGTTTGAGTTGCCACCTCAAGAGCCCTCTCACCTGGATACATCATACAAAATATAAAGAACAGGACATTTTACGCCAAAAAAAGACGGTAAAGAGAATTTATTGGTGCAGTTGACAGTAACTTGGTACCAGACGGGCGTAAGGCTGCAGTACAGTTTATATCTTTGATAATTATGAATTATAGGGAACGAACAGATGTAAGAAAGAGACATGTTTTATGCATAGGCAGCCTATTATCATTCTTTTTTGTTCTTGTGTCCACCTTTTTTTAAACCGTTATCACTATTTTTTCCGTCGTTAGACTTCACCATTATAATACGAATCTAAAACTTGCAAGACAGACCTTTTTATCTTCGGATAATCCTAAATGGATATTCGCAAGGAGTTTGCGGCAAGAAGAAACGTCGTTTAAGTCTTAAACGGCTTCCGAAATTTCGTATGACAGAGAACATTAATTTTCAAAGATCATTTGTAAATATTTCCCTTTGAAACTCTAGACACATTGGATTAAATCGAGAATAAAATCCTGCATGATGTTTAAAGATAAATACTTTTTTGCTAATCAGTAACTTTATACCATTATAACTCGGTTCTTTCGTTCTACAGATCACCCGCTTCTTCAATTCATTCCAAATTCAGTTGATTCGGTCGATCGATGACGAAACCCCTTCAAACAGAGGGAATAGGCAATTTTGCTACATAGGAGTTTGAATAGTTGCTCAAAGGGTCTGTTACAAGCAAGATATACAGTTAACTTATTACACTTTCTGCAGTGGTAAATTCGCTCAAAAGCACGTTGGTCACATAAAAAAAGTCACACTTCACACTATAATTCACACTTTAGCGCGCAATCTGCGTAGTTTGTAATTCGTGTATAACTAGTTAGGCAGCAGCCACCCGTCTTTTTTTTTTTTTTTTTTTTTTTTTTTTTTTTTTTTTTGTCGTCGTTTTTTAGGATTGGGCCGGGGTGGCTACCGCCACCTAGAACACGCTTTTTCAAAATCGCGTGTGCGGACAATGTTTCGTGGCGGTCGGCACTCGGCAGTCACGTTTGCCCGGAGAGAGACCTGACTTAATAAACAAATATCTCACTAATTAAGTTAAGTTAAGACTCCTCAAGTAAGATTTCAGTTGATCCAAAGATTTTGTTTTTGCAAAAAAAAAAAAAAAAAAAAAAAAAAAAAAAAAAAAAAAAAAAAAAAAAAAAAAAATGGAAACAAACACTGTAATACGATTGAATTCACATAGCTCTAAAAGCTGGGCAACTTTATAAAGCGTGTTACAGACCACGCAGATTGCGCGCTTTGAGTTTTCAGACTTTTTCGATGTGCCCAATGTGATTTTTGAGCGAAATATCCCTTCAATAGTATATTTAGTTGCCTGTATCTCTTGCGTGCAACGGACCCATTATCCAGAAATTAAATTTTTATAATTAGACATTTGACAACGGCTCAACGCTCATACGACTTTCTTCATTGATACAGGAGATCGGCTCAACGAGATGAACCCGGTTGAGCTCGGCTGGAAAATACCTCGTCCAATTAGCCGCACCCACGTCCCACGCACTTGTTGCGCGGCGATTTATTGGGAGCCTCGCCGGGGCCGGGGAAGTAGAAAAGTGCACCAATAATTAATGGGTCATAAGCTACGTAAACAGACGGTGTCTAAACAGACGGAGCGAATCTCCCAGCTTAGAGCAGGGTGCTCAATCAAAGGCTTTTGATTTTAATGAACGGTGCTGATGCCACCCGCAGCCCCCATGCCTACGCCCAAGCATAGTTGTCAAGTTGGGTTGAAAAATCGGGTTTCCTCATTCAATTCGCTTTAATACATCAACTCTTAAGGCGCAGCTGGCAACCTGGCACCCGCGATAGTGGGAAGTATTTTGATGCCGTTGCGGCCGATGAAGTTGTGAATACAATGAGAGTAATTCGACTGCATTTTACAACAAGGGACTGCTATTTCTGGCTCTAATTAGAAACAGCCGTGCTATCGTGTTCTCAGTTTGCCTATACAGATGATATGTGCTCTCAAGGTGATTCGATGGTTGCCATTTTTTGTGTCACAGGGACGTGTGATATATATTTTCGCTCCATAATTTCAGCTACTTGTCATTTTTTTCGAATTTTTTTTATCGCACTTCTGTTGTCATGAGACTAAAGAATTCATGTACCTTTGACAAAGAAATTCAACGTATTAAAGGCCGGGTTTTTTCAGAGGACAAATAAAGCATTCGAGAGCAGTTTCGATATCAATATCGGATGCGATATTTTTCCCCTTGAAAAAAACCCTGCCTTTAATACGTTGAATTAATTGTGCACCCTTGAAAAGGGGTTGCGTCCATATGCGTCTGGAAAACGACTCAATCTGCAAATCGGTGAATTTTCCATATGTCTCGAGGAACATACTGTCTAAATAAGTCAAGATGTTGTTTACTCCTCGGTTGAAATAATAAAACATGATTTGAAGTTAGACAACGTCTGGTGTAATGGAGCTGACTGTGGTTGAATTCGTTCGTTTGACACTTTCCTAAAACATGAGACTGTGGCTTTCCCACCGCGCCGCACCGAACACTGCACACTAATGGGATTCCTGCAAAAGAGGGGGATTTCAGGTTTAATTGATTAACTCATATAAAATTTAGTGAGTTTCTCGATGTTGCTACTGTTTTCTCCTAAAATCAGCCCCAAAGCTTTATAAAGTCTCTAATGTTGCGGTTGTAACAATGTGGTGCTTCCAGATAGAGCCCACGTCTTAACGCGTATCGTCACCATCCGGCCAAAGTATCACAAGCGCCATGCGACGTATAAAAATTTCCGTCGCCATTTTATTTTCTTACAAAGAAATTATTGGTTGAATCTGTTTGAAAATTTCACTGAATTTCCCCGGCAGCACAAAGAAAATTCAGTGAATTTTCCAGACCGGCTTTGCTGAACGATTTCCTTGTAAAAAAATAAAATGGCGGCGGAAATTTTTAAACGTCGCATGGCGCTTGTGATATTTCTGCCAGAACGTCACGATATGATGAAACCAGAGCCCACCCACGTGTTAACTTACATGGGTTTTATATATCGACGGTGAAACTACCAAACCACGTATCTCGGTTTGCGACGTCACAGACTTCCTGTCATACTTTATTTTTTAAATGAAAAACTACTTAACATTTAGTCTTGAAAATTTCTGTGATTTTTCCTCTTTGTACGGAGAAAATTCCGTGAAAATCTCAAGGAATGATATTGATTTGGTCTACTTCAAAAAAATAAAATGTGAGCGTAGATTTTTAAACACCGCAAACGAGATACGTGGTTTGGTAGTTTCACCGTCGATATGCTTCAATGAGGCTGACTACATTAGCAGAGTTGCCGTGAACTCTGGGCGAAAGTCTTCCTTGGCACCAGAGTCCTCACCCATAACGGAGATTTGAGGAATTTTCTTGTACTCAGGTACTAATTTTTACTGAAATTCATGTTACTATCGCACACATTATTCGAACCGCGTTTAACAGAAAGGAACCAAGCCACATCGGCTATTGTCAAACTTAGCTGGGCAATTTGATTTTTTACAAGAGAACGTTTGTGCGGATTATTTTGAAAATTTCAAAGCATTTGCTTCGGCTATGCAGTAAATTCACTGAATTTTGCACGAAAATCCCCACAACTGTTCCGTGTAAAAAAGTAAATTGCCTAATTAAATTTGGCAATAGCTGATGTGCCTTGGTTCCTTTCTACTTAACACTGTCCTTTTGTCGCAAATCTTGCTGAGAGATCGCAAATTAAAATGCAAAGATGTCGCTCTTGCAGGATCCGAATTGAACTTTCACGATAAAATTTGACCTTTCTTTTTCCAGACTGTATGGAGGTGCAGAGTGAGGAAGGGCAATATTTTTTTAAAGCATCACAACGAGACAGTAATATGGTTTGTGGCGTCTACCTCTTGACGGATCCGGACAAGAACATCGAAGTAATTTTTGACTACCTCAACGTACCCTGCGAGACGAATGGACTCGTATCGGTAAGTTTCATCGGCTGCTATTTTAAAATGGTATACACAACTGGGCTGGTGGAAAGAACAGTAAATGCGAAGATAATCGTTTTTTAAGCGCTCAGCCAGTAGAGAGCGCTTTTTAATTTCAACCCGCCTCTAAAATTCTAGTGCACTAGTCTGCCGTGCTAAGGAAGAACGCCATATGAGTCTTCAGATGTTGCCAAATTTCCTCCAATAAAAAACAAATTTACTGGGAAAATTGAGAATAGTTTTCTTCAAATTTTTCGGACGATTTTTTTCGCACTTTAATTTAAAGTATCTGCAAATTTCAAGGGAAAATATGTATGACTTTCCTCAAAAATAAATATTTTATCGGGGAAGCTTCGGCAACGTCTGAAAGCTCATACGGCGTTTTTCCTTAGCACGGCAGTAGTGGTAATGCGTTCAAATGGAGCAATAGCTCAAAAACAAGATGGTGGAGAGGGTCCTAACATATTTAGAATCTCACAATATATAATTCTGTAAGCCCGAGCCTTTGTGCCGAAAGTTGGCGGGGACTGTTGGACTGACCCGGGCGCGGGTGGCACTGGCATTCCCCGATGGCCGGAAAAACTCCGGTTTTCTTCAGGTCAAGTCCCGGTCAGCCTTTGTTCTTTCTCGCAAATCAGTACTCAGACTAATTAGTAGATTGAATGTTGGTCAGAGTCTGACCACTGCCTTGGTAACCAGAGGTTGACAAGAGATCTTACAAACGGCCCTAACTCCTAGCCGTGGCAATAACATGTTTTATGAATAAATTCAAACTTTTCGCTCATATAAGAAGAATAATTTACCTGGGTTAAATTTCACGCTAAACGTGACTTTGACAGTCTCAGCAATATGAAAATACGGCAACTTTAATCTTGGCGCTTTGGCTCAGCTATAGCAAGGTGTACACACTTTGAACTCAGAGTATAGGAAAGAAACAATGCTCGGTTGAGTTGTCATGCCTAAGCCGTTGAAGGCGCGATTTGACTCGCGTAGGGTATTGTTTCTCTTGTAACCGGGCAATTCTTTCCCATAACAAATGTACAAAAGGAATCTTAATATCTTAACAAGGAGTTGATCTCAGTAGTTTTCGTTGGGCAAATCGTATTCTGTGTAAGATTCTAGTAAAGAATCATGTACCAGAGTGCTTAAATTCGTGCCTGGTGTAATGATTCATTCAATCTAAAAAAGCAAACATAGAGATCTTTCCTAACTTTTTTCGGAAAAAATATCTTATCGGGAGAAACAAGGCATCGTTGGAATGCTCATACGGCGTTGAAACCCAACGTTGGCCTTTTGAGCCCCATTATTCGATGCCGCGATTACTCTAACGTGAGTTCAAATAATCGCGCAAAACATAGTACGGCCGGCGTAAAATGCATATTAGTGCCTGCAAGACTGCATGAATACTTCACGCATTGCGCAAAACATTGCGATCGGCATGAAACGTATTACCGACTATGAGACTGCATGAATTGACTGCATTGCGCCAAATGCAGTGCATTCCGCAAAGATTATGTTTTTTTTTTTTTTTTTTTTTTTTTTTTTTTTAATTTAGAAAAGAAATTTTAAACTTTTCCCCACTGTGTCTAGTTTCTGTACATGAAAGGAATATGTTTTTTTTCCAGTTTATCGATGGTTGGGAGCTGAACGGACAGTTCTTCCCGAGCATTGAGGACCACCCAAAACCCTTGCAATCTAGGTTCACAGAGTTCTGTGGACAGAGGAAGGTGAAACAAGTTTTCCAGTCGAGCCAAAATGCAGCGCTAATTCAATACAGGATTCCGACCCGAGGCAACGGATTTGGCTTCTCCGTTCGATTCATTAAAAACCCAACTCGTAAGTCATATTCTCTCATTTAATGTAACTGTTCACAGAAAAAAGGGTTTATTTTGTTAGAAGAGCATTAGAAACCTCAATTATATGTATGTCAAATGTGAATTTTACCGTTGACGAAACGTTGTTTAGAGAGAGAGAGAGAGAGAGAGAGAGAGACTTATTTAAAATTTTAATCATTCATATTTAGGGTCAAAAATAGCTGAAATTGAATTCCAATTTACTACGCGCATTTTTAAGAAAAATGAGCCAAGATGTTCTTCATTTTTACTCAGGGACGATAGAGAGTGCCTTCCATTGATAGAACAAAAACCGATTTTCTAAACCAACTTGACAAAGTTGACCCCCTAAAAAAATTTGCCCCCAGGATCTATGGTCCCTTCTCCTGTAGATGGTCACAAACTTGATCGTTTTATAAAAGGCCAGATTATATTTTTTCTCTTTTATCCGTTGACCGAGAAGAAAATTCGCTTAAAGCTAAGAGTCTGAAACCAGCCTGACCTCTTTTTCATGTCCCTGCTACTACCCTCAACATTCTCCAACGGACATTTTTATGCGTTGATCTCAGGGAATTTGCATGCGATTTGCACTGTTCTAACTATTTTAACACTTCATCGCGTCTTTTATTAATTGTTGGCGCAATAAAAACGAGACCCAACTTTTCAACGTTGAGGCGCAAGGTTTATAACTTTTAACGCAAAGTTGCCCTATTCTCATAATACATTTTTCATGAGTAAATCTACTCAATTCATTAGGTTTGCACAATAAGTTCGATCCAACGGAGGCCAAAGAGAGGAAGATTCTTGTTAATTTTACGCATTTATTAAAATTAGAATCAGCTTAACAACATCACACTTTGCCAAATTTCCTCTCGTATTCTATGTATTTGACCTGATATTCCCAGCAACATCCTGTCTTACAATTCTGGGAGTAAACCTATTATTAAAAATGTAGGGAAAATTCACTGTAAGTGTCAGGTCAGAATGTTGTTTAGGCTTTGACCCCCCTCCCCTCAAAAGTTAATAACGCTCGGAAACTAAACGATGCGGAATGAAATTACGCTGATTTTGGTTGAATGAATGATCCACCTTAGATTATAGGTATATGAGGAGTATTGCCATCTTAATCCTTTTAAAACGGAAAAAGTGTGCCACTTGCTGATTGGTCGATGCGTTTTAGCCTTTCGCGAATATTCCGCTGCTCTCACTTTTTGACCACGGCAAACTCGATGGCAACAGAGCTCCATACGTGACGATAGAATGGGTCTGTTGCGTCTACAACACGATTATTTTGAGGCTCGGGACTAGATTTTACGGATCAGCCGCTTCCTCAACTCATACCAAATTCAGTTGATTCGGTCGATCGATGACGAAACTCCTTCAAACAAAGCAAGTAGACAATTTTGATACTTAGGAGTTCGAATAGTTGCTCAAAGGGTCTGTTGCACGCAAGGGATACAGAAAACTGAGCACAATTTCATGGGGAAAATTCTTTTCTGCTAATCAATAACCTAATACCATTACAACTTGGTTATTTCGAGACTCAGGACTAGATTCTACAGATCACCCGCTTCTTCAATTCATTCCAATTTCAGTTGATTTGGTCGATCGATGACGAAACCCCTTCAAACAGAGAGAATAGGCAATTTTGCTACGTAGGAGTTCGAATAGTTGCTCAAAAGGTCTGTTACAAATATGATATACAGTCAACTGATTACACTTTCTGTAGTGGTAAATTCGCTCAAAAATCACGTCGGTCACATAAAAAAATTCTAAATCCACACTTAAGCGCGCAATATTCGTAGTTTGTAACACGCTTTTTCTTTATCGCGTATGCGGGCAGTATTTCTTGGTGGCCGGCAGTCAGGTTTGCCCGGAAAGAGACCTGACTTAAATAAACAAATATTCACGAATTAAGTTATGAAGACTCATCAAGTAAGATTAACTTCACACTTTTCATTTCTCTCTTCATGACAGAAATTCTTCCTAATCAGGTTTGTTTCTAGGAGCCTCATGAGCTTTATGGAAAGCCTGAGAGCTAAAACTGAAAAAACAATGAGTGGCACATATATGGCAATAGTCTCCCTAAAACAGTGTAGTCTAACTTACGAGTATATACCACGACAAAAGTGTGGATTTTTTAAAAGTGGATGACCTTTTGAGGTCAGAAAGTAGCCGAAGGAGAGTGACGAAGATCGGTTACCGATCTGAAATATTACGTTTCATTTCTATCTCATTGGAAGGCACAGATTAGTGGCGGATACAGGAAAACACCATCATGACACTCGGTTCTCTCTCTCTCGAGCATGGATTGCTAGGGAGGAAAATATAATCGAAATATTTTTAGGTGCGCACTTGGAATCTAAACAAACTCACCTCGCAATAGCGGGCATTTGAGCCATCGATAGGATTACGGGCTCCCGAAAATCGAGAATTTTAATTTTTATGGTCCGCCGGAGCAACGCTAGAATCGAGAGATTTAATCGTCGATCCAGGATTGAGGTGTTTAATATTCAGCCTGGCTCTCAGCCATGAAATGAAATAAACAGTCCCGCTTGGGTCGTCACTGTCCCCCAACAACGTTGCCGGTATGAACAGAAAATAGATAATTATTCACCTCTTCATTAGATCGTTCAGTGGTTTATTATGAAAATTGTCAAGATTAGATTGAATTGATTTATTGCACTGCTGATTGCTCAAAAAATCCCGGCATATGACTGAAAAATAGCCATAAAACACTTCCCTAAATTGACAAAATGCTCTTCGAGTTTTTGAAAATTTATTTGAAGGGGCGTCTGTTAGAAATGATGTAGTGACAATTTCCTGAAGGTCTTTGGGAGGATAGAGAACTCCGGTGGCTGGGTATCGCAGAACGTCATAGGGAGCGATGAAAATGGCTATTATGGGTGTACTTGAAGTGAATATATTTTTTTATTAAAAAAATTATTTTGAGTGAAAAATCTGTTGTTTTGATTCAAATGATTTTTTTCTTCAATTTAAAGAAATCTCATTTCATCATCGATGACAGATTTAACTTCCTTTCGATAAAAAAAAAGACAAGTATATAATTAAACAACATTTCTTCAACTCTAATTTTTTTTTTTTAAGTAAATAAATGAACAAATAAATTAAAAAAAACCTGAACATTTATTATTTCAATCAGAAAGAATTTGATGTTGAAAAAAATGTTCAATGCAGTTTGAAACTTTAATCAACTAGAGTCCCAATTTAACACGAGATTGAAATTCTGGATACGCATGTGATCGTTCAAAAGTTTCCTATTTTTTTGTTTAATTTTTGAGAGACTCCTTTTTTACTTGTATTTTTTAACATATGTCTTTATCCTTCACTAGTTTAATTGGTTTTCAGTTAAACACATTCCAGCTCTGAGTTCTTCAAAATATTAGTAATTTCACTCATTTTTTCTTGATAAATGAAGAGTCTCCCTTAACTTACTATGAAATTATAACTCCTCTCTCATCCACTTCTTAACCGGGAGAAGGGACACGTGCTTTTACTAATGTATTTACGAGGGAGACAGTTTACCGTTGCGACAGTCAGGTGTTCCGCGAATCAAAAGAAACATTAGAATCATGATTACGACTTTGCGTCCCTGCAACAAGCGTGGTTCGTGCGTAACGGATCAGTAGCGCGTGTCACAGGATTATAATTGAATTTTATTAATTAGCAAAAAATAACGACACCTCCATAAGCGCCAAGTTTCCAAATCCATTGTTAATTCCATATTCCCGTTGCTGTACAGATGCTAGCATTGACTTTAATCGTGAAGATTAACTTAAGTATGCTACAGAAGGAAATCTTGTGGAATGTAGTCTTGAGCATTTTTGTACCTATTACTTAACGTACCTGAGGGGATGACAGTTTTCGATTAGTGGAAAGAGTTGGGGGAGTTTTATATTGACAGAACTAATTTTAAGTTTTGTATATTAAGAAAATATTTATCAGGTCTTTTACCATGGATAGTGACTCTTCAAATTTGGACTTTTTACGGCATTTTTGTTGAAATCTAAATATTTAGAAATTAATATGAGTACTTCATTGTTATGGTATGCCATTTTCACTCGACGCGATTGGCCAATGTAAATATGCTACTATGGCAGTATTGTCGTAATTTTTAATAGTCTCATAACACTAACGCGGTGGCAATTCAAATTTTTACAATTTACAGGTAAGGGTTTTCGCCTAGCAAAATTTGCTTAATAGAGTGCTTCCCACTGCAATCCTACATTCAATCAGTCATCATTAGGCGAATTTTATTCGAATTTGTTCAACACGTTGCTCACCAACCATTGCTAGGCGCAAAAAGCGTTGATCTCCGAGTTGAACTTTTGCTTCGCTCGATTACATTGCTCAGAATGTTATAGTGCGGGGCGTCAAAATGTAATGCCGTCGGCCCAGAAACGGTAACACTGCGTTTGATTTAAACAATGCGCATGAGAAGCGGCAACATTTCCGGAGTCTGCCTGGCAAAGTCAGGGCAAATTACGGATCCATCTATTGCAGAACTACGTAGGCGGGATCGTAATTTTTTCTGCATTTTTATTCTCGTCACGTGGCCTCGGGAGGGTGAGGCTGCCCCGTTGTTAAATTTGATTTTGAGTGCGGCCAGTGGAACGTCCGGCTTTGGCTTTTGATTTATGTTCCTGGCTCGGACCTTGTTTTTATTTCTTAGTATACAAACTTCCGGCACGCTTTTGATTGATTATGAGTCTTCTTTCCTCCTTGTCAGGAGTTCTTTAATTTGTTTCTCAGATGATGAATTAGGTGGAAATTATCGCTGGACCATATAATGCGGACAAACGAACGATATTCTCCCCTTTGAGAGAGGGATATTGGATTTTATTGTATAATTAGAATTTCCCTCCACTGAAAAGAATACTAAGTCAAGGAGCTAGTCGCCCTTAAGCGAAATCAACCTCCTTTTTCCGCGGCACGGCAAATTTACACTAAGAAAAAAGGTCGGTCACATGAGTAATTCGTTCTGTGTTCTATATCGGCCATACTTTCTGGTTCATTATAACCTCACTCTCGGTCTACGATTCGTATCTTTGGCTCATGTAAACGAACTTTCAAACCAAACCCAACTTTAAAAAAAACCCTTCGCCGGGCCATGAGCCGTGGAGATGGTTCATATAGATCCGCGAGTAAGTACGGTTATATGAACCATGAATTCGGTAATATGAACCGAGAGTACGGTTACACAAATCGAGAGTACGGTTACATGAACTGAAAGTACGGTTACATGAACCGAGAGTACGGCTATGTGAACTAACTAATGCGGAACTCTAGAAATTTTTTGTCTCGATCAGTATGTGGACTAGAAAATATGTGAATTCAACTCTTAATGCTCCTGGGAGCTTATTTTGCCGACTTGAAAAATCGAAGGCATATCCACAATGTAATTCCTTGGATTCTTAGCTCTGACTACGAGCTCCGTAATAGTTGGCCGCTTCATGTTGCGAGGTAAGCAAAACGAGAATATGATTCGCTAAAATGTTTTATCTTATGTTCATGTTGCAGCATGCAATATTCTGCTGGAAGGAACGCAAGACGTATTCACGCTGAGGAATTACGGGAAGCATATTAACTGCAGTTTAACGACGCTCTACCCAGCCCAGCTCAAGGTTCTATCACTCGGAGTCGGACTCACGTTCAGGAAACGAAACCTCGAGGTTGAAACGGGAACTATTCACAAGGTAAGATATTTCAGACTTTCTTGAGAAGATCAAGATTAAATGGACGTAGTTCTACCAAAGAGACCTATGTGGAAGTGAGAAATATGGGGTGTGCTCGTTAGTCTCTGGCCGTAAGAGTGAATGAGAATAATAAAGCGCCAGTGACGTCAGCGGCAATGAAAAAGCGGGGGTGAGACGTCGTCGTCGTCGTTGGAGCTCTTTAACTCATGAGCCCTGTCCACAAGGCTCTATTGCCCTGCCCGCGGCTCATGAGTTCCGCACTCAGTTGCACATAGGTCTCTTTGATAGAATGCAATATCCCGCTTTGCCAATTCTTCAAAAGGAACCACGCCCACTTTTACATTGCTTCTTATCCAGATTTCTAGAGCACACCCCACATTTCTCATCGCCACATAGGTCTGTTTGGTAGAAATACGTCCAAATAAAATTGTAAAATTATTCTTCAGGGAAGTCATATTTTTTGTTACTTAACTGCAAGCGTGTTTGAAATCGTTCCAATTGCGCATAATCAGCGATTCGAAACGCGCTCGCAGTTAAAAGCGTGAGTATATAACAGGGTGAGTGAGATCATTTGAAATTTTACCTCACTCATTTCCTCGTTCAATCCTTAGGGATGAAAAGCTTCCAGGACACTCATGAAAAAAGTTGAGTGACGTAAATTATAGGGAAGGTGAGATTACTTAAAATCTGACTTGATTTATTTCTGTGCAGAGTTAGAAAATAAATCGACATTCTGTGTTATTTAACCAACCAGAACACGAAGTGACGTTAAACTGACCAAATCTTTGGGTTGAAAAATTTGCAACTTCGTTAAAAATCAGACGCAAACCGCTACATAGGATTAAACTTGTCATTGCTGATATTCTACTACGCTGCGTGGCGCTGCGCTAGCCAGTCGAAACCTTTGAGTGACAGCCTTAACGCCGGAATTGAGGTTGGCACATGTTTTTTACCACAAAAACTCACGGTAAAGTTTAGAGTGTCATCAGGTAGATTGTTGTTAGTTCTAAGAACGGGATACTTAAATTTATGCTTCAAGAGACGGTAATATCTTGAAGAGTTTAATTTAGTTATTTATATTTAAAAAAATGTGTTCTGCGTGAAATTTTTACTACGTAATCCTGCTTTTTACATATTCTTGTCCATTGCAAAATGAAGTTAAGTTGGATGGAGTTAAACAGGAATGATCCAAGCCACATCAAATATTGCCAAATTTACTTGGGCAATTTAATTTTTTACATGAAAACTGTTGTGCGGATTTTTGTGTAAATTTATGTGAATTTACTGCACAGTGCGAAGAAAATTCCTTGAGATTTTCAAAGGAGAGATTTTTCGTATGCTACTGTGCAACAAGTCTGTTGTGAAATAGTTGCTTGAGGCGCCGTGGTACGCTGCGGCGCGGCGAGCAGCCGGCCAGCGGGCAGCGGGCATTGGCACCTACAAACCTAACAGGGATACTTCACGCATTGCGCAATGCGTGAAGTATCCCCGTTAGGTTTGTAGGCGACAGTGCGCGTTTTGTGCTGGCAGCACGCCGCGCCGCTCGCCGCTCCTCTCTGTGTTAGGCTCTAATATTTCCTGACGTTTTGTTGTAAAAAGTTAAATTGCCCAGTCAAAATTGGCAATAGCTAATGTGGCTTGGTTCCTTTCTACTAAACGCAGTCCATTTATTCCATGCATGACGCACGTAGATGCATCCTCACAATCGGCTACATTTCCGGACATAATTTGCGTCCGTTTAAATTACCTTACGTAAGCAGGAGCTCACGAATGGAACGATCGGGACCGCTCCTTTTTTGCGTCCGAACGCAGAAGAGGATGAAGCGCAATAACGCAGCGCGCAAAAAATACCAACAAACCAAAGGACACGGCGTGTGGGGTTAGTCAAAGTCAGCACTAATGAATTTATGACTCGAGAAGGAGACGATTTACCAGCATAACGGACCCCTTAATTTTCAAAATGACCCAACTGACGAACCCCAGTTCTCCTTAGTTACCACGACCCTCAGAGCTCTTGTGTTTTCGGCTGTACCCTTTTAAAAATGAACGTATTTCTCCCAAACGGAACTATGTGCATTAAAACATGGGCCCTGAGACCCATGAGAATGTATGCATACAGGGCTCACGTTATACTGCACATAGTTCCGTTCGGCGGAAATACGTCCAAATAAATGGTCCGCCGTCGTCGTCGATTTCACCCACATAATTTCGGCTCTAACCGCTTGCATTCTCAAAACATCCAGCGCAATTTGGCAACCGGGTTGAGTCCCGCAACCGAGATTAGGATGGGCGGGCGGGGGGTGTTTTGACGGGTGATTTATGCTTGGATTCCTAAGTTGTTGGCTTTCCGGAAGTATCTCATTGGGTCAGTTTCTGCTTGAAAGACTGCGACGAAATGTAGCAGGGTTGTAGGAACCTTTGAACTATGTTTAAATCATATGAGCAAACATTTGGTAAATCAAGGGTATCTTCAGGTAGGGTTGAGTTGCCATGTATTTATCTAGTGAGCAAGACGCACCGGTCAAAAGACACCGGGAGGGTTTGATCATTTTGATTAGCCAAGGTGACGTCATGTCTCTGACACATTGACTCTCATTACGGTAGGAGAAGCTCACAAAATCACAATTTTTCCTGTTGGATTTATGCTGTTTCGCACCCACTCGTTACGTTCAATGAGAGGAGGATTCTACTTTTTGAAATGGATCGCATTTAGCAAAAAGGGACCAGCGCGATTACAGTGTTTTCTAAATCTTGCAACTATTCTTTTTCTTTCCAAAATACCTAATACATGCACTCTAATCAAATTTACACAATTATTTTCGTTTAAAATTAACAATTTTTTTTCGTGGGAAGCCAAAACTACCTGCTATTTTGGGAGATTCTTTACGTAATTAAGAAGAAATAACATGTTTACAACACTGTGATCGCGCTGGCTCCTTTTTGCTAAATGCGAATCAAACGATTTTCGATTCATCAGCAAGAATTGGACAAAATTTTGCAAAAAGAAACCACAATATCCGGCTAAAGTCCTATCTGAATGGAAGCGGGTAAAAGCTGATCGGAGTTTCTTAGGCTTGCGGTTTCTTCTCTCCATTTGATCTCGCGGTCCAAATCTTTTGCTCGGCACTGCGATTAAACGAAAATTGACTGTATGCAAGCTTGGATGCATCCATTATTAGATGGATCACTGGTCAGAAATGCATTTATCAAAAGGGTTTAAATACGACGGATCTTATGAACATCAAGCGTTTTTTAAGCTTTAAAATCATCATAACCCCGGTTTAATTTAAAATTTCGATTGGGGCAAAACGTCCGCTAAACACTTCTAACAGTGGTTTCATCAGTAATTTAAATTTAATTTTTTTGGCACCAAGGCTTTTTTCCGTGTATACCTAATGCGTACTGAAAGTTTAGTTTAGTCATGAGAGGATTTATTATTTTTACATATAAAAGGTGAAGTATTAGGAAGGTAAAGAAAAGCAGTCACCTTAGTTTCTCGAATTTTTTGCCGCGGAGGACATTTTGAACGGATTGTTAACAGGAGGGTAAACGAATTTTGTTCTTTAAAAATTGACGAACAAGGACAGTGTGATCTAGCTAAGTCACAACAAAGTAAATTTAGCTTGATTGACACTCGATTTTGCGCTTAGTTTCAAAATGTCTGGAAAGAAAGATACTTGGTTTAGCAACAAGACTCTTATTTCTCATGTCGAGGACAGGAGACTGGCTTCTGCATTGTATGTCAAGCTGTGAGGAAACTATTTCTTTTAAGATTTAACAACACCCGATAGGAAGTAGCGCTCGTGTTTCATTTTTGTCCACTCAGCAACAAGTTGAGCAATTTGCGAAACTATCCCTCGTTTTTCGAACGAAGTACTTGACATGAGCTAACAATACGACACTTCGAGGATGGCGAAGCTCTGCGAGTTAGAAGTTTCTTCGTGGTCCCTGTCGTCCGATGGCCTGAAAAGGACTCTCAGGGCACGTGCCTTACCAAGACAAGACATACGTTGAATCGTCTTTACACTTTGCTTATTGCAAAGATCCTCCCAAAAAGTTGTCCCTTTTTAAGAGGGCACAGGGATCATTTGGATGGTATTGAGTAAAAAGGAACAGTGGAACAACAAAGATGAAAAAAACGGGAAACAAGGCTAAAAATACACAATTATGAAACCCGAGACGTTTCGACTCAACACTGAGTCATTTTCAGTCGGAAACAATAAAAAATTTTAAAAGAAAAACGCTAAAAACCTGAGCTCTACATGGTGGGGCCGGGATCTGAGATCCCGGCCCCACCATGTAGAGCTCAGGTTTTTAGCGTTTTTCTTTTAAAATTTTTTATTGTTTCCGACTGAAAATGACTCAGTGTTGAGTCGAAACGTCTCGGGTTTCATAATTGTGTATTTTTAGCCTTGTTTCCCGTTTTTTTCATCTTTGTTGTTCCACTGTTATCATCGTCTCGGGCTGCTCCTAAAAATTTGTATCTGTAAAAAGGAACTAGCGCAATTACAGTGTTGTTAAAATGTTGTTTCTTCATAATTGGACGTATTTCTATGAAACGGAACTAAGCGCCATAGGGGGAGGAAGGGAGAGGGGGGCTAGGATTGTCGGGTGTTGCGGAACGTGATGCTTGTTTCGTACTTTACTCGCAATGCTTTCCAATGGCGCCAGGTCCGTTAGATAGAACGCGCTATCCGGGATTCTAAAATCCTCAAAAAAAACTCAATTTGGCGCTTAGTTCCGTTTAACAGAAATACGTCCAATAATCTAAAAAATCTCCCAAAATAGCAAAAAGTTTTTGCATCCCACCAAAAATTGGTAATGTTAAAGGGAACTAATTTTGTAAATTTTAAGACTGTACATATATTCAGTATTATTTTAAAGAAAAAAATAATTTGCATGATTTTGAAGACACCGTGATCACGTTTGGTTCCTTTTTGCTAAATGCGATCCGATTGTAGTGTGATTCAGATAAAACATAGTAACGAGCAAAGTCTTTT